ATATATATATATATATATATGAACAATCTAGAGCAAGGGGTGCATTGCAGGGTGAGCTGAGAGAAGGGCAGGGAAAGGGGGAGAAAATGTGTGACAAAGAATAAATAAAAGAGGGGGAAAAGAAAAGATAGGGAGGGGGCAGGCAAGGCTCTGAATAACGGTCAAGATGTTAAAAAAAAATGTGCTGAGACCTTTGAAATCAGAATCTGAAGGATGGCTTGAAATGGAGACTACAGTGTCCATAGGAAATAAGCAGTCATTTTGGATGGCACAGACATAACAACCCACAGAATGAAATTCTGGAACAAATCTCTTATTACACAGTCTTTTGGAAAGCCTGAAGTTCCTTCTGTTAGCTTAGAAATTAATGTGGACACTTATTTTCTAAGAATTAGCATAGCTTTATGAGGAAGACAAGAGAGGCACATGGGAATACGTAAGGATTTTGTCCAGTTAATAAGAATCCTTAGGATCCCAGGATTCTTACATACATGAAGTGGGAAGCCAAGAGTGTAAAATTGTTGCTACCACTGCCCTTTAGTGGACAGATCTCCTCATTCCCCAATCTTGGTCCACAGGAGGACCTTTGTAAGGAAAAGCTTTGGTCTGTGCTCTCAGTGTGAGCAGGATGAGGTAGCATTCATGTACAAAGGTGTTAGAATTCTAAATGTGGCCTTAGTTTCACCAATCAGCAGTTTCTGGTTGAGTAGAACCAAAGGGGGGAAATAAACTTAGTAGAATTAGTTTCTTCTTTCAAAGATTTTAGTATTGATTTGAAGATGTAAAACATAACTAAATGGAAAAAAAGTAAAATAAGTGATATTACACAAGGGTATAAAAGACAAAGTAGAAGCTGAGACAGAATCTGGAAATTCAGGTATTGGCGCGGGGGGACAAGTCCACATTTCCTTCCAAATAAGGATGGGTTTGGGATATTTGTAGCAAGAGAGTGGGAGAGTCTTATGATTTGGAAATTATGTAAAAAGAGGTTAGAGAAAGGGTGGAGAAATAGTCCTTAACTGATTCTGTCATTCTTTTCTTTCTTTAGCCTTGAAAAGGAAAACTATGAAGTCTGGGCTAAGGTGGTGAGGCTCAGTGACGAACTGGAAAAAGAGAAGAAAAAGTCTGCAGCCTTGGAAATCAGCTTTCACAATTTGGAGCATTCTCGGGAGGATGTTGAGAAGAGGAATAAAGTCTTGGAGGAAGAAGTCAAGGAGTTTGTCAAATTGATGAAGGAACCCAAAACTGATGCTTGAGAGTTCCAGGAGTACCCAGATGTCCTGGAAGTAACAGCATGGGACCTGCCTTGCTCAGGGCTACCTGAAAATTATTCTGTACAAGGGAAAAGACACTCTGGAAAAAAATAAAACGTAATTTCCATGAATAGATTCTTTGAGAAAATGTGTGTGATTATCATCTTTGTGGGGCATGCATGGACAGCTCTGCCCATTTTTGCTTCATTCAAGTATTTGTTATTATCTGAAGGAGTGATACGGATCCTTCTACCACTGGATGACTATGTCTAGTGGAAGTAGTTGAGGCAAGTCATGTGTTAGGACCCAAGGAGAAGCCTAGCTCCAATCAAGACTGGAATGTGGCAACCTCTTAATGATTTGGTTTTTTTTGGTGTGTGTGGAACAACTTAACTAACCAGATGACCTCAGATCACCCCTGTGACATAGGAACAGAAAATAATCTTCAGCTTTCATGTGTTCAATCATGCTATGATCTGTGCCAGAGTCTTACCTTTAGACCCCTACCATAATACACATAATCCAGGGGCTGGGAATTAAGCATTGTTCTTAGACTACAAAATATAAAGCACAATAAAATTGTATTTATGAAGGCAAAAATCAATGGGAAAATGAAATCTGAATAAAGGGGAGGGGACCCCTCAAACCATTGTCAATGAATATAAACCTTTTGTATTTTTAAAAGATATTCCCTTCTTCTTTAAACAGATGTATTCCTTGTCAAGACACAGGCTGGATTTCAGCCCCACCCTATATCAATGGCCAGCACCTGCACAAGTTTGTGTGTAGGGCCTGAGGGCAAAGACTCCTGCTATAATGTGGCCTATTTAAAGACTCACTGAGACTTACTGTTGTTGTGTTCATTCTTTTGTCAGTCCATGGTAATAACATATCAGATAAGGGACATATATCCAGAATTTATGAAATACTTGAGCACCACAACAAGATAAAGGTAAACAATCCAATTGGAAAATGGGAAGAGGATATGAACAGGCACTTCACTAAAGATGACATTCAGATAGCCAACAAACACATGAAGAAATGTTCAAAATCCCTACCTCTAAGAGAGATGCAAATCAAGACAACTGTGAGATACCATTTCACTCCAGTAAGACTAGCAAAATTTAACAGAACAGCAA